TGAATTTTATACATTCGTTTGTTTTCAGTCTCTCCCGCATGCAACACTACCGCCATGTCTACGCTCGTTTTGCATGATTTCACATCATTTTATTAAATAAACTTATTCTTTTCACTATCACATATTGTCATCTATCACTACTTTCTAAAAATAAGTTAATTAATACTTTTTTAATTATTTTGTCCACCAAAAATAAATATTTTGTTGGCCATTCAAATCAATAAGGAAAAACATGTTTAACTGACTGATGTAACTTACAATGTTAAAACACCCTGTAACATGCCCAAACAGCAGGGAATGGCACAAAACTGGTATGGTGCATTCAGAAAGGACAGCAAATAGTTCTAACACAAAGCTTACATTACTTATTGTGGCTATACCAATTTCATCATTGCCTGTCACAATTAATTCTATACTTCCCTATGTTAACACCACTTCTCTTACCAAATTTCGTCTATATTTTTATTGTATTATACATAATGTCCGGGGAATAAACGTCGAAACTCTGAAAATAAGCACTTGACACAATTTTTTGCATATTCTGTCGAATAAATTACTTGGATATTCCAAATAAAACAGCACTCAATTTACACAATTCGACTGATTTTTCATTTCTGCGTTAATTTTTCTTTCTGAAAAAATATATTAATTACTTTTGTAAATAATAAACACTTTACATGTTTCTGTAGAGTTTATATGCTTCTGAAATGCAAATTTTTGCCTAAAAAGAAATTTTTCAAACCAATTTTTGAGTGATTATTGCCCAGTCATTCGGAATATGCAAGGAATGTATTACACAAAATATGCTTAAAATTGTCTAACGAGCACGAAATTTCAACGTTTCCTTCCCGGTCATTCTGTGTACTATCTGTCTGGATGTAATGAATTGAAGTCACCGATTTACTCCTTTTACATGCAACATGACTAGCGATTTCTCAGGGTATGAAAAGTAGGAACGCCCTCCTCATACATTTTCATCTCGTGGATGTAATTACCAAATAAATGATTCGCTTCGATGTTTAAGGAAAAATATACAACTATTGAAATGATACGAGAAAATTAATTTTGATCGTCTTTTAAACTAAGCGCTCTTTTGTCATAAGTAATGCAAAAACGATCAAAATCAACAAAATCACTGTGAGGAGAAACCTTCAGCATTATCTCCACTCGCTTGCAAATCGCCCATATCTGTCTACACGCAGGCGGTCAGAAGAGAAAACTTTATTTAATGGAGATATACGAAAGTAGGCGAGTATCTTTTCCCTTGAACTACCATCAATGGGCCCCTTTTTAACAAGGTGAACGCTTGGTGGGCAGTGAATCAAGTCACAACACGGCAGACAAGGTCAAGAATAGGCAGAGCTGCAGGCTTTGGAAACTCACTGCGACGTGACGAAAGGTTCTGGAGAAACGAAATAATGTCTCCCGCCCAGTTTTCCATTGCAAGTTGAAACATGAAATATAATTTGTTATGTTTCGTTATATATTTGTGTTTATCCCATTATAATTGTATATGCTATACATTTATAATGGGATAAAGTTTAAAAATATTTCATTCTATAATCGCGTAAACTAATTTGTATAATGTGATTACGCACGATAAAACTATTTTGTGTCTCAAAGCAGAATCTGCATGCCGAGCCGATTTCGCGAGCATATGGGGCTCGAATGGGTCTAGAAACCTCTCAAGAGTCAAGGGGTGTTTGCCCGTTTCAGCTAATCTAGGTGGGGAGTGTGGAGGCTTGCTTGCCTCAGCAAAGAGATGAGAGGGTAGGTGTTGCTTATCTCGCAAACCAATGTGCGGAAGGGTGTTTGCTTGTCTCAGCAAACCAATGTGAGGAAGGGTGTTTGCTTGTCTCAGCAGACCGATGTGAAGATGAGTGTTTGCTTGACGTAGCAAATGGAGGTGATGGGGTGGCTGGCTTGTCTCAGCAGACCGATGTGAGGATGGGTGTTTGCTTGACGTAGCAAATGGAGGTGATGGGGTGGCTTGCTTGTCTCAGCAGACCGATGTGAGGATGGGTGTTTGCTTGCCTCAGTAAATGGAGGTGATGGGGTGGCTGGATTGTCTCAGTAGACCGATGTGAGGGTGAGTGTTTGCTTGACTTCGCAAATGGAGGTGATGGTGGCCGTTGGTGGCGTCGACATCTGCTTGGACCGCTGCCTTGTCTACTGGAGCCTCCTATCAATGCCTTTTGATCAGTGTGTGGTGGGTAACAGCGATGGCCGCTAGTGGTAGAAGTACGTCCCGATCTGGATCAAGTCACAAAAACTGCAACAATATACATAGTTCCCGCGCTCTTGACTGCACCTCCTTTAGTGAAAACAAAACAGTGAGCGCCTCCTTAAGCGTGAAATCTTGCGGTTCTTGGCTGCTTTCAAATATACGCGAGTATTCTATGGGCAGTGTAGAGATCTGCAGAACCTCTCCTATGGCTGCGTTCGTTGACAGAGACGAATCCCTCCTCTATCTCTTTTTTTGGTGTGTGTGTGTGTGGAAGAAATTCCGTTTTTTTGAAACGCCAATTTTTGACATGATGGGCAGCTACTAGTTTTGTGGTAATCCAGCAAGCAGATAACAGCCACAAATATGACCCAGCGCTATGGACACATGTAGACTGTTGAAAAGGGCAAGAAAATCATTTATTTGTCCCCATCGGAAAGTGGCCCAGGGTCGTTCTATGAACCAGACAAACCTGGGAAGACAAAGGTTCGTTGTAAGAAGTATTAGTTCGTCGACAGAAGTATTAGTAACGATGGTGACCGTTATCTGAAATGCTCTTTAGAGCTTGGGAGTATTATTTTTGAAGTTCATTGTTTTTCCTCTGTAATGCATAAAGGAAAAGATTTTGTGATTTTTTTTTACCTGAAACTTTCAACTGTGCACTCGTGTTCAATCGTGTTTCAGT